CTTTTACCTCACTAGTCCCAACACAGTGCCTCGCAAACAAAAGTAGCTCTGTAAATACTTGTAGATGGAAGTAAGAAAGAGAACTGGGCATACTGTGCAAAGCGCCTGCCTATCTTGCACAAGGAACACTCAGGAGAAACCAGCTCTGGGTCTCCAGACTCCCTATGTAACAGGAGTAAAGCAGCTCTGTAAACAGGCTTTTGCAGCACATGTAAGAGATCAGGGAGTCAGCACTATAGGATTCCACCGAGGAAATGCATTCATTTCCCTCAGGGAACAAAGTACATGTGATGGAATTTTTGAGCACATGGGTCAGTTTTGGGTGAATCAGTAACATTCTTAAAACATTCTAAAGCCCTATACTGTCTGTCTTCAGTCTAAGCCTGCTCCTAACAATCCTAGCCAGACAAAGCTATTACCTTTTCTTTAGCAGCCTCCAAATAACACTAAAACCAGCTTTGCCAAAAATTAACTCACTGACTGGGGGGGAAGCACTCCTTCCCCAACCTTCCAAAAGACATTCAAAAATCTACACTTTCTTCAACTTGCTGAGCATCAAATATTGTCCATTTGGTATAAATGTCTACTAGATTCCACACACCATCTTTGGCCTATCTTAGACCCATAAAAAAATCCTTTTTAACAAGAGACCAGAGGACACAAATTGTTGAGGCCAATGACTTCTACTCTGACAAAACAGTGACCTCTGGACGGGGCCTGTGTCTTGTCTATGACCTACAACTTACACTGCTTAGGAAATAATGAAATCTCACTTTCTTAGACCACATGTGGCTAGACCTGTGGTCAAGGACCCCTTTCTGCCCATTTTCCAAAGCAGTGCTGTTATCCACCTACAGGAGTGAGCCAACTCCAGTAAGGGAGTCTTCTTTTCTTGCTATCTTGTATTTAAGAAACCAACCAACCAACCAACCATAATTTGTTAAAAAGCAGTAAAAGTCTGATTCAAAGTAACACAGAAAACTCAGGAAAGCAATGGTTTGTAACCTAATTAATATACTAAACCTTTCTTTTTACCCATAAATATTTGACTTGTTGGAATTTAAAATTTTTTAATGTATTTAAGTCAATCAACAACCACATGTAGATGTATCCAGTTTACCTGAAGAGACTAGAAAATGACAATTAAAAAGTATAACTGATGAAGCTGTATAATGGGTACAAGGTCATCACCCTATTCTAATTTTGTGCTTTAAAATCTCCATGTTAAAAAGGCATAATGCATTAAAAAAGGTTTTTTAATGGAAACTTATGCCAAGTGAAAAACCAGCACGTATTTCAACCTCTTCTGTTGCATCAAATCAGAGTCCAAGCGGTGTACTTTCCTTCTTTAGTCTGTTCTATCTTCTCTTCAAGTCCTAAAGTGTACCCATTAAAAGATGCCAATGGAAACAATCCACTTACTCAAGTAGAATGATGCTGAAAATCACTAGTTTTAAATAGAGACTTTGGAATATTCTTGAGATGTGAGCTCAAGAGCTCACAATCAAACTGTACATCACATTGTTGTTTCAAGAGAAATCATTGTATAATTTTCCTTGATGTAACATAAAGGCACCAACAAATTCAACTTAGGGTACGTACACTTGCTTTTTACGTTTGTCCCATACCTTTACCTCTCCCCTAACCCCCCCCCCCC